CCCAGTGAGGAGATGTGTTTTCTGGTCTGATCTCATCTCATCTCTTCCCTCTGTTTGCTATGAGGAGCTGACTTCTTTGGGCTTCGTTTTTCTCATCTGTATCAGGAAAGGTTGGTGTAAATGAAATCACAGATCTCTTTGGCTGTCATTGCTATGATTTTTGTTCTTATTGGTTGTGGTGGTGGTTTTGTATTTATTGTAATGCAATGATTTTACACGTAAGTTCAATTATTGCCTTTAATACCCACTATATTTTAGTATGAACAAAAATTGGAGAAAAATAGTTTTAGATTAAATACCATGCATTTTAGTAAAAAGCTTAGCTCTATTTTTAACAGACTGTCACTAATAAAGAAAATACATTGTTTTTATTAATTGACATCTTATATATTGTATATTTTCTAAATTCCTTATATATTGATAAATATGCATGTGCTCGTTCATATTAAACATATTTAAAATTTGCATTTTACCACCTATTACAACAAAGAGAAGTCTTTTTTGTGTTATTATCCTATATAATAAAAGCCCAATATGCAAATCAACCAAATGACAGAACAACCTGCAGAACGACTGGTTGCTATGAGGTACACTGACCACCAGGGGGCAGACACAATGTAGGAGCTGCCCCCAGCCCACAGGCCTCAAACCAGTCAAGAGAGGTGCCAGCGGGGGCCGCAATCGCCCCACTGGTCGCCCTGCGGATTGGCCCTGATCACCTGCCAAGCCTAGGGACCCTCCCCATGCATGAATTTCATGCACCGGGCCTCTAGTTTAACAAATAAAATACTATTCTACTTAATCTATTTTTGCTGGTTTCTGCAAGTAATGACAAAGACACTTGGCTTTTTTATTTTTTGTTAATCCTCACCTGAAGATATTTTTCCATTGATCTTGAGAGAGAGTGGAAGGGAGGGAGATAGAGAGAGAGAGAGACATCAATTGGTTGCCTCCCACATACACCCTGATCAGGGCCAGGGATTAAGCCTGCAATTGAGGTACGCACCCTTGACTAGAATCAAACCCAGGACCTTTCAGTCTGTGGGCCGATGCTCTATCCACTGAACCAAACTGGCTAGGATGATATTTTGGCTTTTTAGAGTCTTATTACAATATAGCTGAAGAACCAGACTAATAAATAAAAGTAAGGAACTTGCTATTGTACTTTACATCTCTTAGGAAACACCATAAGGTGTAAATTTGATCTACTTTCTGAAGTCATTAAGCTTTATTTTGAAGTGATGCAGAAATGTGTAACTGTGTAGACTGGCCCGTTCCACCTTCCTTAAAGAGTTGTTTGCTTTCGTCAGTATATCTTCTGCAGTCATTGCTGCACAGGAATAAAATTTAGCAAAGGAAAATTGATTCCCTCGACATCACCTTTTCTTTCTCTCTAAACTTACCCTGAAACTAGTAGTAATTGCTTTTAATTACTAATGACAGTTACCCCTCTAATCAACTGTTATACACCTAACAAGTGATTTCAATGAAGAAACACAAAACTGAGGTTAAAATAGGAATGGTAGAGGAAGGGAAAGAATTTCAGATGTAGACTAAGAAGATCACATATATTGGGTCAGACTGGTGTGTGGTTATTTTTTGAAGATGCATGAATCTCTGTGCACACTCCATCAAGTGTGTTAGCAGTCATGCTCCAGCCAGGGTTATGGCACAGTGACACATTTTAAAGCCATATTTTAGATGTTGAAGTTGGGCTTACACACGTCAAAATCTGAATTTGTTTTCTTAACGTCGTGTTTGCATTCAAAAATGAGTTAGGCCAATTTCCATTGCTGAAATTTTACTTCCCAGTGTGAATAATGTGGGAAATCCTTGAGTAAAGTATTCTTATAACTGGCATGACAGACAAACAGATTTTAAATATTCAGGTATATTGAGGCAAGGGACTTATTTAAATCAAAAATGTATTTGGCTCATTAGTGGGCTCATGTGAAAGAATCATCTTTCTTCCATTTGATGGTTTTTTTTAATAGAAAATGAAATTTAAACTAGCTGAACAGTTTCAGGCAAAACTGTCGATTCAGTTTTCAACTCCTAGCCGGCACATAGGGGACTTTTGAAAAAAATGTTAATCATAACTTCCTTAAAGTTTTATTCAAAGCAGATCAAGAAGGAAGGGCTGTGGCTTATTTTGTGGAACACTTCTGTCATTGACTCTGTCTATAGCAAACTAGTAGTCCACAACTTTTGCAGTTGGCTACATTTCAGGCTCGGAGTTGCAGGGAAGACTGTCCTCAGAGGCAGTCATTTACAGCCCTGTCATGTTTTCCATTTGCACCTGTTACTTTACATTTCATTTCTTTACTACTTGCAGGCTCATACATCCCCAGAGAGAACTACCATGGCTTAGCAATGCAGGGTCTCTAGAATGGATCCTAACATTGAAACATCTTAATCCTGTGAAATATGAGCATATTCTCCTCCAAGTTTCAGCTTCCATACCAGGCTGTAGGTGAGGGACCAGGCTGTGGAGGCATTTGTATGCTATTACGGCTGTGCATACCACTAAGGTCTAGTATCACAGGCTGATATCAAAGTTGCTAACATATGACCTTGCCTAGGCTTAAACTCTGAATGCTGGACTCCCGAGAGCACTCATGGGAAGGTGCAGTTAAAATAGTGTCAAAGATTGGAAGTCTATATGTGAGCTAAGTTTCACCTGATCACTTGTTGGCAAATGCAATCTGCATGCATGTTGCCTCAGATCACCTCTGCACATTTTGCTTGGCCTACTGATAAGGAGCTGGGGACCGTTGTTGAATCCCACGTACAGTCTGATTTGTTATATGGTTGAGTGAAGTCGAGCTTCATTGTCCATGGGTATCTGGCCTGATAAATGATGACCAGTGCACACAATTATGCGGTCCTCCCCATGTACGGAAATAGCTTTGTGGTGATGGGTCTATGGTTGGTGGTTTGGACCTGCAATCTTCAATTCAATGCAGGTAAAGGTAGAGAGCAACATCCTTTTTTTTAAGTGCATGTGCCTATGCAAAGAGTGTAATCTATAGTGTTACAGAAGTTTCCTATTTTATTTGTAGATATAATACTTTGCCAAGCAGAAGAACCTTGAAAAATTCAAGATTAGTGAGTAAGAAGGATGACGTGCATGTCTGCATCATGTGTTTACGTGCCATCATGAATTATCAGGTATGTTTGTGTTTCTGATCCTCGAAAAAAAGTCTGAGTTTGTCAGACTCCAATCTTGTCCTTTTTGGTTTCCTTGTATTATTTCTGTTTGAAGTAAATATCAGGATTAAATGAGATTCTATTGAAAAAGAAAGGTCTGGTTTTTTCTAATGCTCAAGATTTAATTTATTGCCTTGCTATTTTAATTAGCATTTATCATGTGTTTGCCTCCTACAATGATAAACTTGTCTGGATTACTTGACCAACGTTTGGGACCATTTAAGACAGGGCAGTAATGGGACAACTTTAGAACATTAGGAGTGAGTAGACTCACACACTGGGTTGGTCATTGGTTCTCAAAGGGACTCTGTGGTAAACAGGCAAAAAGTTACAATTGTCTGTTGGACCCAGTGAGTCCTAGTATCTATAAGAAACACCCGGAGGATTTTTGTTACAAGTTGGGTTCCTTCTTCAGGTGATTGATGTAGGTTATCTCCACTCTGAGAACACTGGGAGAGAGAGTGCCTTGTGGGGGGTTGGATTATTCGTAACAGGGAAGTGGAAGTTAGAGCCTGGAATATCTAGGGTGAATGGACATGGTCAAAGGTATAATTAGATCAGCTAACCAGGGTGAGAATTAGAAAAACAAAATTCATATGTAAAAATAGGATTTGATTTCCATTTTTAAGGATGCTACAGGTGGGCTCAAGAAGAAATGGGAAATAAATACCACATGGAGGGTCAGTAATTGAATTCAAACCCAGCCCAACGTAATGGTGCTGAATTGAATTAAAAAAGGGAACATGCATTTATTTATTTTTTAGTCAATTAACATATTTTTTAGCATTGTCAGACCCTGTTCCTAGCACAGGAATACAGCATTAGATAAACAGGTGTCCTAGGGAACTTACTTTCTAGTGAGAGAAATAGATGATAAATTGTTAAACTATATAGTGTTCCAGATACGGTTGCTGATGAAATGAAAACTAATATTTACAAGTACTTTTAGTGTTTTAAAACCAATTAATTAATGTAAGACTCATAACAGTGCTGTGAAATCTCAGTACTATTACTTTCCCCATTTTATTAATGAGGAAACTGAGAGCTAAGACAGAGAAGTAATTTGCTCAACATTATATGACTAATAAATGCTGGAGTCAGATTCGAACCCATGAAGACTGGCTCCAGAGATCTGTTACTAAGTGTTATAGAAAAAATAATCAGGAATTAGGAATAGGAAGTGATGGACATATCTGTTCAGTTTTAAATAGGCCAGCCAGGCCCTAACTGGTTTGGCTCAGTGGATA